TGGTGAAGGCCTGTGTTTGGAGTTCTGGAATGCATGGCTCTGGGTGGCACGACGATTCGGGACACTTTATGTTTCTGCCGCACCACAGAGTGTCTGGTATGCTGTGTCGCGGCTTCGAGCGGCGCATCCAGTGCCTCAGTCAATGTTAATTCAGTGTGCGTGGTTATTAGTCCCGGTGTACAAGCTCGGCACTTGAAACTAGCACACAGTTGGCTGTAAAACTATACAGAGACACAAATGATTGTGTACTCTCTGCTTAGTCTGTGTCCGAGTCATACATGTACGGCTGAATGCTGATCCTAGCTTAGCTTCTCTCTGTCTGCCTGTCTGTTGCAAACACAGAGCGTGGGAGCTCTTGGCTCCGCCCCCTTGTTAGGTTGGGCGGGAAGCTGAAACTAATTTTCATGTGAAGCAACACGCCCCTAAAACAGCGAGCTGTGTACACGCCCACAACATAACACTTTTGAACACATTATAATAAACAATTCTGACCTGTGTTTTGAACTGAACCTAAACTGGCACACTCAGAAGAACCATAATATTAATATTAAATCATAATAAAAGGGGAAAACTATGTGTCCTTTAATATTACTCAGAAGTGAAATAAAGTTACCACTGTTGTAGCAAGCGCATAAACAAAACGCAAAACGCAACCGAACATAAATTCACAACACCGCTCTGATCTCTTAATAGCACAGATTTACTCGTTAACATGGAAGATTGAAGTGCTAAAAATTATTAATCTGGCCATTTTAACAATTATCAGACACAGTGGATTGCGAGAGATTAATTGACAGAAGATGCTGAGCAGGTGGAGTGATAATGGAGGTCACTTTGCACAGTTATCGGGCACAGTACAAACGATGTAGTAATTAATCTCACCGGGGATTGGGTCTGGAATAGATTAGCGGCGTGATTGCTATGGTGTCTGTAGTGAGCAGTACATAAGGGGAAGAGCATGCTGGGTTTCATTAATAAACTTTAATGTGAATTGTGCCGCGCTAATACTGCATCTCAGCATATGGCCAGCGGTTCCAGAGGGCCAACGCATTTATTTCACATTACAAAAGGTTAAACTATACACTTGATGAGTTGGGGATTAAGAGAATTTGTAGCCAGCTGAATTACACTACTATATTGTGTAGGTCAGGTTTGGTTTTAAAGGGACAGTCCACCCAAAAATGAAAACTGATTCATTATTTACTCTCCCTCAAGTGGTTTTAAACCTATATAGTTTTTTTATTCTGTTAAACATTAAATAAGGTACTTTGAAGAAAGCTGAAAACCTGTAACTATTTACTTCCATCGTAGAAAACAAATGGAAGTCAATGGTTACAGGTTTCCAGTATTTTTCAAAATATCTTCAGGTAATCTTCCAAATCTTTGACTTTTTTTTTTCCTGGTCAGTAAAAAGAAGATATTTTGAAGAATGTTAGAAACCGGTAATCATTGACTTCATAGTAGGAAAAACAAATGCTATGGATGTCAATGGTTACAGGTTTACAGCATTTATCAAAATATCTTCACGCAGTCTTTTAAATCTTTATGACTTTTTATTTCCTGGTTAGCAAAAAATATATTTTGAAGAATGTTTGAAACCGGTAACCATTAACTTTCATAGTAGGAAAAAAATCTATGGAAGTTAATGGTTACAGGTTTCCAGCATTTTTAAATATATCTTCACGAAATCTTCCAAATATTTATGACTTATTTTCCTGATCAGCAAAAAAAGAAGATATTTTAAAGAATGTTGAAAACCGGTAACCATTGACTTCCATAGTTGGAAAAACAAATGCTATGGAAGTCAACAATTACAGGTTTCCACCATTTTGAAAATATATATCATCACGCAATCTACCAAATCTTTGACTTTTTTTTCCTGGTCAGCACAAAAAAAAGATATTTTGAAGAATGTTAAAAAACCAGTAACCATTGACTTCCATAGTAAGAAAAACAAATGACAAGTAAGTCAGTGGTTACAGGTTTCCAGCACTCTTTAAAATATCTTCTTGTGCGAAGAAGAAAGACTCTCATAAAGGTTTGGGTGAGTAAATAATGACAGAATTTTCATTTATGTTTGTGTGAACTGTCCCTTTAAGACTTTTAAAATGTTATATTAAATAAGTAATTCACGCTATTCAATCTAAATTAATCTACATTTTTGGCCATATATTATACATATTTTGAGGTTGAATGATGCTCTTGACAGGTTTTGTGATATTTATTCACATATAAAATACAAACATGTGTCAAAATTCATTCATTTATTTTATTTTCGGCTTAGTCCCTTTATTAATCCGGGGTCTCACAACGAAATGACCCGCAACCTATCACAGGAAAAAAAATATGTCAAAATAATGAAAATATTTTTAATATGTATGAACATGAATGTTTTAAAATATCCCTCTGTTGCACTAAAATATGCAAATGAGTTTAACAGGCCGACCATTTTTAATAATTCTTCACCCTCATTAATCATACAGACTTTAAAATGTCATACTATGACCTATTATGTGTCTCAATATGTTAAATACCCTACATCCAGACCATTTTAACATATTGTACAGTCGTTATTTTCATACCCAGTTTACATGGAGATTGATTGCCTAGGCACAGTCAGTTTAATATATGCTGGATTGTTTTAACCCAATGTTGGGTCAAAATTAGACAAACCCAATATTTAGTTAAAGGGATGATTCAGTCAAAAATGTACTCACTATTCACTATCCCTCAAGTGTTTCCAAACCTCTATGAGTTTCTCTCGAGCACTATAACAAATATACTGAAGAAAGCTAAAAAGCTGTAACCATTGACTTCCATAGTAGGAAAAACAATGGAAGTCAATGGTTACAGGTTTTTATCATTCTTCAAAATATCTTCTTTAGTGTTCAACAGAAAAAAAAGAAAGTCAATAAGATTTTGAACAAGTGAAGGGTGAACTAATCCCTTTAAATTTTAAATTTAAATTAAACTTTAATCCAATGGTCGGGTTTGTCCATATGCGACACAACACGAGTAAAGTGCGAGTGTGTAATTGTGTAAAACATGACCAATTTAAATCAGTGTTGGGAAAAGTTACTTTTAAAACTAACATATTACAATCTCAAGTAAATTTTTATTTAAAATTAACTAACTGTGTTATCCGGCTGCATGGTGGCACAGTGGATCGTGCAATCGCCTCACAGCAAGAAGGTCGCTGGTTTAAGCCTCGGCTGAGTACTTCTGTGTGGAGTTTGCATGTTCTCCCCGTGTTCGTGTGGGTTTCCTCCAGGTGCTTCGGTTTCCCCCACAGTCCAAAGACATGCTTTACAGGTGAATTGGGTAGGCTAAATTTTCCGTAGTCTATGAGTGTGTGTGGATGTTTCCCAGAGATGTGTTGTGGCTGGAAAGGCATCTGCTGCGTAGAACATGTGCTTGATAAGTTGGCGGTTCATTCCACTGTGGCGACCCCAGATTAATAAAGGGACTAAGCCGAAAAGAAAATGAATGAATGTTTTACATTGGATACTGTACCACATGCAACCCAGTACTGAGAAACACCCAACACACTCACACACTAAGGCCAATTCACCTATATCGCATGTGTTTGGACTATTGGGGGAAACCGGAACACCTGGAGTAAACCCACTCGAACATGAGGAGAACGTGCAACTCCACACAGAAATGCCAACTGGCCCAGCTGGGACTTGAACCAGCGACCTTCTTGCTGTAAGACGATCACCTCTGAGACACCTTGTCTTTAACAGAAGAAAGTTATTTACATTTTTGGGTAAACTAAATTTTTTAAAGAATGCAAGTTTTATGTTTGTTTTTTTTAAAGTGTATTTTCAAGTAAATGTCTGCGAACAATTCTAATAATAAAAATATTGAAAAAAAAAAAAAAAAAAAAAAATATATATATATATATATATATATATATATATATATATATATTAAAACGTCAATAAAAGTCACTGTTAAACTAAGTTGAAATCTCAACATTAAAGGTCATCAGAGCAGAGATTAATCTCATAATGCAATTCACTGTAAAATAATGGAACTAATATTGAAGAACAGAAGTACTATGGAAATCAATGACCGGTAACATTCTTCAAAATATCTTTTTTTGTGTTCAACAGAAGAAAGCCACTTTAAAATATACATTTTCAGGTTAGCTTTAGGTATAATTTCTGTAAGTGTCAAACTGTCCTCTCAGTGTTCATCATATTACTATAGATTTACAGTGCATTCCCTGCTGAAATATCCAGCTTAAACCAGCCTAGGCTGGTTGGTTGGTTTTAGCTGGTCGACCAGCCTGGTTTTAGAGGGGTTTTGGCCACTTCAAAGCTGGTTTCCAGCCATTTCCAGCCTGGTCTTAGCTGGTCAGGCTGGAAAGTGACCAGCTAAAACCATCTAAAACCAGCTCGACAATCCTGGTTTAAGCTGGACATAGCTGGTTTTGGTTGGGCTCCCAGCTTAGTTAGGCTGGTCAAGCTGGTTTTAGCTAGTCATCTCCCAGCTTGTCCAAGAAATGGCTATAAACCAGCTTGGAAGTGGCAAAAACTCCTCTAAAACGAGGCTGGTCGACCAGCTAAAACCAGCCAACCATCCTAGGCTGGTTTAAGCTGGATTTTTCAGCAGGGTATCCATTTAAAAGGTTTTGTTTTAATGCATTCAAGTCGATTCAACCGTTCTTTGGCCAATTAATGACGAACAACACGAAACTGCGCACTTTAAACACGTAACATTTCGTCCCTACAGCAGCTTAATTCACACAGCTGCATAAAACATCCCACCTCAGATATGAAAACGGTTTTTGTCCTTCCCATTGATAAAAAGTTGTCGCATCCCTTTGTCTTCGCTTAAGAGTGAGGTAATCATAAATGCGGACTCAAATATCACAGATAGCAGAGCGGGGACATACCCTTGTTTAACCCCCATACATTAAAACAACAACCCTTGTCTTGTAATCTGAACAGGGGCTACTGTATGTCTGAATGAGGCTGCTGCTGCTGCTGCTGGAGCGTTCAGATGATCAAAGGCGATACGTCATTGCGCGCTGCAGCGATTGGCTGGATTCTGCTCCTTTTTCTCCAGAATTTGCAACCGCGACCGGTCTTCGCCTCCGGAGCAGCGACATCCCTACAGTAGAGGCAGGTAAACTACCGGTTTTAATGTAGATCTTCGCATGATGTTCGTTTGATTGATTGAGCCAGTCCTTTCTTTTTTTCTTCTCCTCTTTATTGGCTACTTACGATTTTGCTCTGACGGTAATTGATGAGCAGCATTGCTGCTGGCTGATCTGAAGGAATGCCGCAGTTCAAATGAATCTGCTTTTAGTAAATTGTAAGCCTGGCGGAACAGGAGTAGAATTAAACGCGGCATCATTTGCGCACAAAGTTGGCGAGCAGCGCGCGCCTTTCTGAGGCGATTTTTAGGCGGCTTTTGTTCTCTAAACAGCTTGCGTGTGTGCGTCAAAGGTGTGGATTTCAAAGTCTTTTAAAGGACGTCAAAGTTGACGTGACTAGAAATATAATTGCTCTTGTTGTTTGTGCTAAAACACACATGCTCTTTTCTAACGCTGGATTCCTCATTGGATCTATTTTAGGTGGACTTGTTTCCCCTCAAGAGAAATGAAGGCAATATAGCGCGCGCATTCGGCAGGGGTGGACATTTCTATTCGCTTTCGCCTCCTCAGTTTTTTTTCTCCCCCTGCAATACAGACACTGGACTAAATGAGTGCCCGGACCTTGGAGAGACTGGCGCTTTCCATTCCCCACTGTGCCTTAAACGGAACCGGCAATGGCACCTGCTTCGACCGGGTGGATCAGCTGTTCCAGGCGTTCTCCTCCACCGCCGTGCTTTTCGTGCTCATCACGATGATTATCGGGATAATATTCGTGTCCGTCACCACCTTCCACTTTCACAAAAGCAAGATGAAGAAGCGCAAGATACAGAAAGCGCAGGAGGAATACGAGCGCGACAACTGCAGTCCCAAAGCGGCCAAAGGAAAGCCGGCGGTCCGGCAGTGCATCATGGTGAGACCCCCTACGGCAGTGCGGAAAAGTGATCCAGATCCCGGCCTGACGGAGGACACTGGACTCTCAGGACATCAGCCGAAGGATGATAACTTGTTGGAATCGGTCGCTGTGTCTTGATAACCCAGCCTTCAGGAGGACCCTGTAAATAACCTCAGTACCCATATGATATTACCTACGGAATATATCGATTCTTTGTATAAGCATTAGAGTTGATAAGTTTTCATCATAGATCCCGAAGGAGCCCTCTGGATGCTCAAAAAGGAGGAAAGATTGGGGGAAAGGCAATGCTGACGGAATGTCTATCATAATTTAGATCAAAAATGGGATCCAATCAAGAGAGTGCTGGATTAAAGTCTCATCTTGGATTAAATTAGCAAAGTCTAAATGAGTTGATTTTAATAGACAGTACTGGAATGTCCATCATAATTAGGAGACAATAAGGAGAAACTGACATTAATTATCTGAAAGGATACTAAACATGAATGGGATTTGATCATAATTTCAAGCAAACTGAAATGGGCTCAATCCTGAGTGAGAACCTGATAAATGAATGTAATTGAGAATACATTAATGAGTTGATCTTTTAGCAGTATTTTAGGATGACAGTGATGCAATTACTGAAATACTGTATTAATTGGTTAATCCAATTGCATACTGAATAATTAAACATTGTAAAAAATTAGGATGAGATGGGGAATTGAATTCCTGGGGAGAATAAAATAGACAATCTAAAAAGGGTTTTATGAAATAATAAAAACTAATTAGGAGTCAATCCCACCCCCCAAAAAACACCAATTAAGAACACATAAGCATCAAATAGTTAATAAACTCGTATAGAAATTGATGAGAAACCTCTTAAAAATCACAACTGTTTCTCTTTTGTGAAAAAAAAAATCTTGGGGGAAATAAATATTGATCAAAAAATATATGAACTAAATATAAATGACATTTACTTTAGTTCCAACCCAGTCCCAACTGGATTAAACAGCAATCCTCTACAAATCTAATTATTACCATGACTCTGATTTTGATATATTTAAGAGTCAACTCATATGTGGATCCAATGAAACCTCTCTTCAATCCAAAATGTGAATCCTCTAAGAACATCCCACTATTCTCAAGCCACATTTAGCTCAGAATTACAGCTAATCCATGCACTAATTGGCTGTATCCCATTAGCGTTACCTACAAATTATGATAGGCATTTCTTTGGGATACATTGTTCGTCTCGTCCACTCTTCTTTATATCGCTGTGCATCCAATGAGGAGGAATAATTGTAAACAGGGCCATCACCACTGACAAACTACGGACCTACTGACAGTACTTCAGAGTTTATGACTGACGCTCTCTTGTATAAAGTCTGTACAGACGCTGGGATAAAGACAATGGTCTTCTTCAACACAACTCGCGATGATTTGCCTTTGTTTGAGTTTTAGGCAGCGTTCTTGTTTCGTTTGACAAATAAACCTCCTAAATTGAGATTTAATCCTATAATCTCGGTGGCTTTTTTTTTTCCAGGTAGAAGTGCAGTTCGTGCCATTCTGGCTTGGCATGAACAGGTTTAGTGTTTTTAACCCCTTAATCCCCGAGACTGTTAATGTGCAATTGCAGCTCTAGTGGTAGTAGTATAGCCTATATTGTTTCGTTCATGGCACTGTATAATCATAGTAATATTTATGTAACCTGGGGCATTTGGGTTTTGTGTTACAGCTCTGTATTAACGCTCCTTTTTTTGGCATTTCCGCTCTAGATGAATATAACACTTATGATCAAGTACTCTATTTTTTATTATTCTAGACTAGCGTAATGATCAATAAGTAATAAGACGAGATTTTAAACAAGTCATTTTATGTATTTCCTTGACATTGTGTTTTTAACGGAAACTGGAGCTATAGACCGGAATATCACGTATTGTAACAGATTGCAGTTTGTTTTGATTTTGTTCAATGCATTCGATTTTGAATTAACAATAAAGTATTGTGCAAAAAATTGTCTTCTTTATATCTTCAGATTCATTTATTTTAAAAAAGCAAGGCCCTGCTGAAAAACAGCCTGAATCATTTAGAGTTATCGTTTAAAATAGGGCTGGGCAATAATTCGATGATCACGATATATATATTTTCCAGTAAAATGATAATGACAGTTCGATAACTGTTTGGTAATATTTATACACTATGCGTAACGCTGCGCTAGCATTTTAAAAATATTTTTTACTGATGTTGAAAAATAATATAAAATAACTTGTAGGCTAATGTCTTTGCTTGTTGAAAACTTGAACAGTAAATGCTGAAAAAAAATTAAAATAGTTTGTTGTTTATTATTTTATTCTATATTGTCAGAAAGCTAAAACAATTCACAAAATGTGCTGCACAAAGGGATTGGCATGCTGAAAATTCTTTAAAATAAAAAGATATAAAGATGTGACATTTATCGTGATAAGTATAGGTACTGACTGATGTGAAAAAAATTATCGTGATAATTATCGATATCGAATGATGTGAAAAGAAATTACCGTGATAATTACTGATATCGACTGATGTGGGAAAAAAATATAGTGATAATTGTCGATATCGACTGATGCGAAAAAAATATAATTATGAATATCGACTAATATGGGAAAAAATTATCGTGAAAATTTTCGATATCGACTGATGTGAAAAGAAATTACCGTGATAATTATCGATATCGACTGATGTGGGAAAAAATTATCATGATAATTGTCAATATCGAATGATGTGAAAATAAATTACCATGATAATTATTGATATCGACTGATGTGGGAAAAAATACAGTGATAATTGTCGATATCGATTGATGCGAAAAAAATTATGAAATTCTAAATATCGACTGATGTGGGGAAAAAAATTTATCGTGATAATTGTCGGTAATCGACTGATGTGGAAAAAAAAGTATTGTGATATTTATCGATATCGACTGATGTGGGAAAAAATACAGTGATAATTGTCGATATCGATTGATGCGAAAAAAATTATGAAATTCTAAATATCGACTGATGTGGGGGAAAAAATTTATCGTGATAATTGTCGGTAATCGACTGATGTGGAAAAAAAAGTATTGTGATATTTATCGATATCGACTGATGTGGAAAAAAATATTGTGATTATTTTTTATATCAACTTGTGTGGGAAAAATTTATCGTATGAATTGTCGATATTCAACTGATGTGGAGAAAAAGTATCGCGATATTCATCGATTTCGACTGATGTGAAAAAAATTACAGAAATAATTGTCGATATTCAACTGATGTTGAAAAACATTTTTCGCAATATTTATCGATATTCGACTGATGTGGGAAAAAATATGATTATAATCGATATCGACTGATGTGAAAAAAAATGATTGTGATAATTATCAATATCGACTGATGTGAAAAAAATTTTTGTAATAATTGTCGATATTCGACTGATGTGAAAAAAGTTATTGTGATAATTATCGATATCGACAGATGTGGGAAAAATTATCGTGATAGTTATTGATATCGATTGATGTAGAAAAAATGATCGTGATAATTATGGATATTGCCTGTTGTGGAAAAAATTATCATGATAATTATTAATATCAACTGATGTGAAAAAAAATTATTGTGATAATTATCAATACCGACTGATGTGAAAATATTAATGTGATAATTATCTATATTAACTGATGTGGAAAAAAAATTTCTTGATAATTATTGATATCGACTGATAGGAAAAATATCCTGGTAATTATCGATATCGACTGATGTAAAAAAAAATATTTTGATAATTATCGATACCGACTTATGTGAAAAAAGTTATTGTGATAATTATCGATATCGACAGATGTGGGAAAAATTATCGTGATAATTATTGATATTGACTGATGTGGAAAAATTATCGTGATAATTATCGATACCGACGGATGTGAAAAAAATTATCGTGATAATTATCGATAACGACTGATGTGGAAAAAATTATCGTGATAATTATCGATATCAACTGATACTTCAAACAAAATTTAGAAATCTGGCCAAAAAGTTATTTTTAAAATTGATTTCAGCAGTTCATAACCGCTCACCAAAGTGAACTCTTATAGTATAAAACTCATATAGTATAAGTATATACAAGTTTTAGGAACAACAAATAGTAACTTGACTTCTAGTTGATCATTTGGTATCAGAAGTGGCTTATATGAAGGCAAAGATCTATCTATCTATCTATCTATCTATCTATCCATCTATCTATCTATCTATCTATCTATCTATCTATCTATCTATCTATCTATCTATCTATCTATCTATCTATCTATCTATCTATCTATCTATCTATCTATCTATCCATCCATTGTTCTATCTATCCTCCAAGAATGTGTCTATCTATCTATCTATCTATCTATCTATCTATCTATCTATCTATCTATCTATCTATCTATCTATCTATCTATCTATCTATCTATCCATCCATCCATTGTTCTATCTATCCTCCAAGAATGTGTCTATCTATCTATCTATCTATCTATCTATCTATCTATCTATCTATCTATCTATCTATCTATCTATCTATCTATCTATCTATCTATCTATATATATATCGATCGATCGATCGATCTATCTATCTATCTATCTATCCATCCATCCATCCATCCATCCATCATCATCCATCCATCCATCATATATCTATCTATCTATCTATCTATCTATCTATCTATCTATCTATCTATCTATCTATCTATCTATCTATCTATCTATCTATCTATCTATCTATCCATTTATCCACCCATCCATTGTTCTATCTATCCTCCAAGAATCTGTCTATCTATCTATCCACTCATCCATCCATCCATCCATCCATCCATCCATATTTCTATCTATCTATCTATCTATCTATCTATCTATCTATCTATCTATCTATCTATCTATCTATCTATCTATCTATCTATCTATCTATCTATCTATCCATCCATCCATCCATCCATCCATCCATCCATCCATCCATCTATCTATCTATCTATCTATCTATCTATCTATCCATCCATTGTTCTATCTATCCTCCAAGAATCTGTCTATCTATCTATCCACTCATCCATCCATCCATCCATCTATCTATCCATCCATTGTTCTATCTATCCTCCAAGAATCTGTCTATCTATCTATCCACTCATCCATCCATCCATCTGTCTTTGATCTGTCTGTCTTTCTTTCGGTCTGTCTACTAACTATCCATCCTTCCGTCCACCCATGCATCCCTCTGTCTGTCTCCATCCTTATACTGGATTTGTTTTAATTATTTTTTTGCTTTGTCTTTGTGTCCGTTTTGAATGTTAAATCATTTATTTCCACTCAATTCGGATTTGAATTTAAAACTGGGATCTCAATATACCTTGATTCAAGTTCAGGAATGGGGTTTCCCCTCAGTACATCTCTGATAGAGAAACACCATACTGCTTCTGCTGCCATTGGCGTGAGTGTAATATGTGAAGCACGACAGTAAAGCACATCTGCCAGCTGTCTAAACTCTACTTTTGGAGCTGAAGCCAATCACCCCTCACAAATCAAACAATTATCATCCCTCCATTTACGTTACAAGGCTAATTGCTTGACTGCTGTAATAACCACCTGGTGCCGGACATGAACAATAGTGACAGAGGAGCACCGCTGGGCAGAGACCAATATCTGCTTTGTTTTCGTTTCTCCTTCAACTGAATGTCAGAGCAGTTTGTATGTGATGGCTCTGACAAAAGGGGAAAAAAAGAACAAACAAAAGATGTGGGAGATCTTTGCACCTGCCCTCCAGCCAATCAGAGAGTGTCTGAGTAAATACACCTGTGTGTGCTTCACACTGCGCAATGTGCCAAACTTGTGCCCACTACACAGCCCACTCTCCTCTCTATGTCTCATTGTGTGTGGGCTGCCGCAGCCATTGGCAGCACATTGTACACGTAACGGCTCTCTCTCTGCCCACATCATATTAGTGTATGAATTTATTATTTGGTATAAAGATTATGGCTGGATGGCTGAAAAAATCAGAATGAATAAGGTTGCTTTTGCTTAATCTGTATGACTTCTGTACATTATGCTGGGCACACATTAGCTAGCAAGCTTTTTTTTGTTGTTGTTGTTTTTAAAAGATGTCTGATAGACTTCTAAACATACAATGCATCCGGAAAGTATTCATAGCTCTTCACTTTTCCCACTTTTTTATGTTACATCCTTATTCCAAAATGTATTAAATTCATGTATTTCCTCAATTCTACACACAATACCCCATAATGACAATGTGAAAAAAGATTTTTCGAAATTGTTGCAAATTTATCAAAAATAAAAATAAAAAATTGAAAAATCACATGTACATCAGTATTCACAGCCTTTACTCAATGCTTTGTTGATGCACCTTTGGCAGCAATTACAGCCTCAAGTCTCTTTGAATATAATGCCACAAGCTTGGCACATCTGTCTTTAGGAATTTTTGCCCTTTCCTCTTTGCAGTACCTCTCAAGCTCTATTAGAGTGGATGAGAAGCATTGGTGTACAGATAGTGCATTAGATAATGTTCAATAGGATTTGGGTCTGGGCTCTGGCTGGGCCACTCAAGGACATTCACCAAGTTGTTGTGAAGCCACTCTATTGATATTTTGGCGGTGTGTTTTGGGTCACTGTCCTGCTGGAAGGTGAACCGTTGCCCCAGTCTGAGGTCAAGAGCACTCTGAAGCAGGTTTTCATTCAGGATGTCTCTGCTCATTGCTGCATTCATCTTTCCCTCTATCCTGACTAGTCTTCCAGTTCCTGCTGCTGAAAAACATCCCCACAGCATGATGCTGCCACCACCATGCTTCGGTGTAGGGATGGTGTTAGCCTGGTGATGAGTGGTGCCTGGTTGTCTCCAAACTTAACGCCTGGCATTCACTCCAAAACGGTCAATTTTAGACTCATCAGAGCAGAGAATTTTGTTTCTTATGGTCTGAGAGTCCTTTAGATGCCTTTTGGCAAAGTCCAGGCAGGGATTGTCTTC